TGTGTGTGTGTGTGTGTGTGTATATATTGCGAATGGCTTAAATGCAGAGAGGAATTTCCCCACAAGGATCAATAAAGAGTACATTACATTATACGTAAATTTCAGTTTTACTGGTACCAGGCCTCTGGAGACATGGGAGCAGTCTGTTAGTTGGTGTTTTGGTAAATCTAAAGGCGTTTGGATTTAAACTGGCACGTTTGTGATGGCAGGATAAGCTGCAGCGGTTATTCTGCCCGGTATTCAAACCCAGGACTCACTTGCTGTAAAGCAACAGAGCTGTGCCATCTCCCCAACACCTTTTAAACTCATACAGCTGTGTATCGTTGCACTCCCATCTACGTGCTTCAGTGTCAGGAGTATATATATTCTCTGTGATGGCCCAGGCCATGTTAAAGCCAAAGAATGTGCGTCCATTATTCATGTTCTTTAGCGACTTTTAGTTTTGGGGGGTTTGTGTCAAAGAGGAAGAATTTTTTTAGATTTTTCTTTTCTTGGAGACCATTCACAGACGATGACTGTCCCTCTCTGAGCGGTTACAGAAATTGATTTCATGAATAACCTCTGTGCTCGTACTCATCTGTTTTTCACAGCCAGATTGGTCAAATTCTCCATGGTGTGATTTTCGGAGGATAGTCTCTACAGCTTCCATTGGTGATATCATCCTCATTTTATACCTCCTCATTAGTACCACTGGTCTGAAGGTGGCCACACATCCCTCTGTATTCTTTCCCATCTTTGTGAAATCTTAACGTAAGATGTGTTTTTAAATTCCTCCGACAGTTTTTCTCCATTTGAAGCCATGATGCAAACATGCAGTGAGACGCAACCCAGTGGTCCAATCTTATGATAAATCTTTTTTTTATTACCTTTTTAATGAAATTGGGCTAATTAGACATTACAGACGTACTCTACTTTGCTTCGATATGTAGATGTGTATGCAGATATTTTTTGTTTAATAGTTACGTGACACTCAATTTGCTTAACACAGAAGATAAAAACATCCTCTGAAAGTTGTACAATGCTTTAAGTCAGTAAAAAGAGCTAAATCAAAATTTCAAAAATCAGTAACATAAAGATAAAACTTCAGATCGGTAACGTAAAATTGTTACCTTAAGCTGTGGGTATTTGGCTGTAATCATTGTAGGTTTATGGTCTAAAGGCTGGAAAGAGTTTTTCAGCTCCACCTTCTTGGCTTCTGCGGTAGAAGGGTCTCATTCTGATGTGTACAATCAACAAAACATTTTTAAAGACAGATGCTTTTTGACTGGAGAATATTATATTATAACTATATTTGAGCATCATGACCTTTAATTGATGTGTGTATTTTTTAATTGTTGTTGGCAAATGAGACATATGTCACTTTAATTTTCCATTTTTAAAATACCAGATGTTATAATTTCCCCTAGCTCTAATTTCGAAACAGAGTTTGGCTGAAATATAAATGTCCTCCGTGGTTTTAAGGGGGGGGGGGGGGGGACGACAGACAATTATTCACACCTATAGGTAGTTAACTTAACACACATGTCTTCGGCCTGTGGGAGGAACCCGTCCCCTGCTAGATGATGGTAAACCACCACACTGGTACTGGTTTGTGAAGTCAAATATGATTTTGTAATATCTTAGAGCCAACCTGGAAAAAAAATCTTAGTATTAGTAAGTAAAGTCACCTTTCTGTTATGTCCAGTAATATTATAACCAAACCTGTGTAGGTGCACAGAGTGAGTGGGTTAATATGTTGTGGAGACTAAAGGAAAACTGATGGTAGGACAAGAGTTACTGCTTGGGCATGAGGTCCATAGGTCTGACACCTGATGATTTATTAAAACACTGAGTGCCTTCAGATTATTAAATGAACAGGATAAGGACCCGAGAACCTAAATCACTGAGTTATGGGTACACGCAGAGCCATCATTTCACACAAACAAACTAAAGACTTGGTATAACTGGCCACAACTCCATTTTTATTACATTTCTGCTGGTTTACTGAACACAACATTGTATTTTAGATGTATTGCTTTTGGATGAGGCTGTGATAATTAGAAACTATCTGTGAGGAATCGTCCGCACTTCCGTGATACAGTCTGTTGATTGAAGCTTTATCTTCAAAACTGATATCTGCAATAATGTACTCAGTGATCAGTTTATTTTTACAACACAACACGACAGGCTTGCCACAGAGATTATCTTTACAAAGCTCTAAAATATGAACATCCGGCACTGTGTTTATTACCGGTCTATGACGGCAGGCATCATAAGATTAAACTTTAAGGAAGCACAGCTACCAATGTGAAGTGTCCCTAATAAAGTTGATGCCTTACAACACTTACACCAATAGTTACAAGTTAACTTTGAGCACATGTTTGCTTAAAGGGCTGAACCTTCACTGAGTGTTAAAACTATAAAATAATCTCGACACAAGGTCATTTGGGATGAGAAAGTAGAGGCTGAAAAAAGCAAAAAACAAGGGGAATGACTCGGGAATAAACTTTTAATCTCTAAAACATCATTCATGGTACCACGAGGAAGTGTTTTTAAAAGTTGCTTTTACAACTGAACTCTTAATAAGCAAAATTAAACACACAAAAAAGACTCAGATTTTAACAGACTCAAAGGATATAGATGTCCACGAGCGTTGGAGGACGTGGGACTTTAATTTCTAGAATTAGGTCGGCCTTTTTTATTAATTCAGAGTATAAGCTACAGAGAATCAATGAATGGATAGTATGTTGTGAAGCTACACTGTGCTCCTGTGACTCTAAAGCAGCGCTGCGCCTTTAAATATGTGCGCTCCTCCCTCTCCTCAGTGACAAGCCCGCAGAGCCTCTTTAACGCATCCAGTGGAAATGACAAACCAGAGGCGCACCACGGGCCAAGCATGTCCAGTAATAACAATAAGCATGGGCTTTAGCATCATCGGCTCACCCGGCTCTCACATCCCGAGAGAGTAACGAGGCTCATTTGGGCCGTTTCGTCGCTCTGCGGACGCGTCAAAGTTGGAGCGAGCTCACCGAATGGACGGTCGATGGACTGGAGTCAAACCTCCGCTTCAATCGGACTGAAGGAAGGAGGGAAAGAAACCTCTGCATGTTCAAGTTTCCTGCTCCCACCGGAGGGGCATCGCTGCGTGTGTGTTGGATGTGTGTGCGCGCGTGTGGAAGTGTGTGTTGGGTGCGTTGCGCCCTCAGGAACAGCGGCAGGAGCAGCGGTGGCGTTGGTGGTGGTGGCCGCGGGAAGGGAAGTTTAGCGCCGTGATTTTTTTTTCTTTTTTTTTCTTTTCCTTTCCTCTGTTCTGTTGTGTTGTTCTCATGTCACAGCAGGCGACGGGAGGATTAACGTTTCACTGATGAGAATTAATCACTCGTGGGGATGCTCTGTGATCGTGACTATGACGATGATGTCGAGTAAGAGCGTGGAGTGGCTGCAGGAGGAGCTGGAGTCCGGGGCCAGCTCTCTGCTGTTGCTGGACTGCAGACCCCATGAGCTGTACGAGTCCTCGCACATCGAGTCGGCCATCAACCTGGCCATCCCGGGCCTCATGCTCCGGAGACTGAAAAAGGGGAACCTCCCCATTCGCTCCATCATCCCCAACAACGAGGACAAGGAGAAATTTGTAAAGAGGTGCAAGACGGACGTGGTGGTGCTGTACGACGAGGCGACCTCGGAGCGGCAGGAGTCCGGGCTGGGAAGCTCCGTGCTTGGGCTGCTCCTGCAGAAGCTCCGGGACGACGGGTGCAAGGCTTTTTATCTAGAGGGTAAGATCAGATTGCTTTGAATCTAGAGGTTTTGTTTGGGTCGTGGTGCATTGGTGCCTTTTAATTCATAAAACTCTTACACTACTTCCTCTCAAAGTGGACTGCAGCAAATTGCTTGAATTTCGCTCTGATTTGATTAACTTAGACAGTCCCAGATGAACTGGACTAGTGTTGTTGTAGTGTCACTCACTGCAATTAATGGGAAAGAAAGCGAGTGTAAATCACACTGATTTATCAGACCTGGGATGCTGCACTTAAACGCCGCACTAAGTGAATTTGGTGTTTTGGGGGGGTCGTGGCACGCCTGGAACAGATTGTCTTTTAAGGCAGATTTTATCTGGTGCAGTCACATAGCTAAGCTTGAACAAGCCACTCCTATCAGTAGCTTATAAAACATTATTGCATCGATAAAGTGTTTGTAGGGGGGATTTGAAGGGGGGTTAAAATGTGGCGCCACTTCAGATAAATCCAGCTGTTCTCATCTGTCCACACACACACACACACACACACACACACACACACAGTTGATCAACACTGAATGAATTCCGCATATTAAAATAAAGTGTCACTGTTACAAAATCAGGCGGTGCAACAAATCGGATCCAGTGTCAGAATGAAGTAGCTGTTCGACAGATGTTTCCTGCTTCCGACCAAAATCATCGCTTTTATTTTTACTTATTTATTGATTGATTCGCAAAGCGTGGAAATTATTTAGGGAGAAGAAAAGCGTCAACAAAGCCTCGTAATTTGATCGAGTGCTTTAAAAAAAGAAAGAAGAAGCAGTTTCAAATGCGGCGTGTTTTCAATTAAACGCTGCAAGTACGGCCCCGCCATATTGAGCTCCTTCAGGAAAAGACGAGCGGTTTTTTTTTCATGAATGAACACTGAAACCAGGACACGACGACGGGCTACGAAAAATCCCACAGAAAAAAGCCGACATTGTTTTAAAAAAAGACAGTTGAAAGGCGATGAAATGAGGTGTTATAACCATAGCAGAGAGGTATTTAACCACGAGAAAATAGAAATCTTTGACGGGAGTCACGAGCCTCGAGCTGCCATTCACAAAAAGTCCGCTGAGCTGTGTAGTGTTGTAGCTGACTGTCCTGCTCAGCTTTTCTCAATGGAGCCACATCTGTCTACACTGTTCCCCCTCTCTCTCAAACTGACGTAAATACCAACTTATTATAATTTATCTGTCACGGGTGTGTGTGAAAATATGCCGTGGATCTAATAAAAGCGTTTTTACACACGTAGAATATCACGTGCAATTCGAAGTTTAATACCGCCTCTGATATAACTGTAATCAAAAAGAAAGAGTGTGAAGAGATTTTCTTCATTTGGCCAATTTTAGCACCAAATTTTTCTCAGATTATTTGGACTCAGTGTTAATTTCTTCATATCCAGGCTCATGTTAAATGACTCATACTTTGGTTATGCACAAGTTTTAAACCCCCCTCCTCTCCTCCCAGTGAAATTGCTTTCTTGGCTTTATACTAACATGTTTTGTTTTTGCTTGTTTTTCCTTTGTCTTCATCATGCTCCAGGAGGCTTCAACAAGTTCCAGTCAGAATACCCAGAGCACTGCGAGACCAATTTGGACTGCTCCTGTCCCAGCAGCTCCCCACCAGCCTCCGTCCTCGGTCTCGGAGGGCTCCGCATCAGCTCCGACTGCTCAGATGGGGAATCGGACCGCGAGCCGGGCAGCGCCACAGAGTCGGAGGGCAGTCCGCTCCCCAACAACCAGCCAGCGTTCCCCGTCCAGATCCTGCCCTACCTTTACCTGGGCTGTGCCAAAGACTCCGCCAACCTGGATGTGCTCAGCAAGTACAATATCAAGTACATCCTGAACGTGACGCCCAACCTGCCCAACATGTTTGAACACGAAGGGGACTTCAAGTACAAACAGATTCCCATCTCCGATCACTGGAGCCAAAACCTCTCTCAGTTTTTCCCTGAGGCCATTTCTTTCATAGGTGAGTGGAGAATGCTGTGCAGTTGTCTCAGATATCCGTCAGGTTATTTTAGACAAATGTGTTTTTGGGTCAGGGCAGGGATCTGAAGAAGTTAAATTCATTATCAATCAGTGTGCTGGTTGGGCCCAAGGTCTCATATTTAAGAGGCATGTTTTGTCAATCACAGTCCAAAATCCTCATATTAGATTGTATAATAACTTAGAGCCAAAAAACAAAGCACTGTATGAAAGTATGTCAATGGATGAATGTGAAAAAGAAAGAAAAAACAAAACAAAACAGGGCTTTAAGTGCTCAATTAGAGTCACAGAGTTACAAAAGTGCTATTTAAGTACTAGTCCATTTAGTGCCGCTATTATCTGCTCTTTATTAGTCACTTTCGCTGCATTTATCCAAGATTTTAATCATAAGTCGTGCATATAAATAGCTTCTTTGGAAACAGTTTAAGATGGATGTTAGCGTGGTTTTGCTAAGCCTGCATTTCACCGTGATTGATAAAACAGGAATTTAAAATCGTAGAATGAAAAGGCAACTCTGTGAATAAAACATGGAAATGGATTCTTTGAGAATGAGGTCACGCAGAAGAGTTCTCATCTTGTCCCATTTTCAGTGTTTCCCATCATTCCCGTCATTCCTTCTCACTTAATTTTCAGAGAATGAGTGAATTCCCTCGCCGATGAGTCAGTGCTAAAGTCTTCATGCATGTCTTAGATTGTCCAGACCACCGACTCTACCCCCCGCCCCTTTTGTTTTCCTTTAGAGTAATGATTCATTGTAGGTGGCAGGAAGTGAGACATATGCCAGAGCCAGAGGTCGTGGCAGATTTGGGTCACGCTGATGTTAAATGGAGCTGGCTGTAATAAGCAGGGATTACAGCAGATCTTTTTTTGTAAATAACGGGGTAATTATGGGTGAAGGAGATGCCGATATGACTTCACACTGCGCTGCTGAAAGTTGCAGTCCCTTAAATGCCTAAAATTATTGTTTGTACGTGCTTTTTCTTTTGTGAAAGCAAGAATGCAGATGGGGAAGGAGTTGAAGTTTCTTGCATAAATGAAAATCCTTACGTTACTGCACATGCAAAGAACGAGTAAAGTGACGTAATCAGTTAAAGCCCGTTACTTATTCGACTTCCGAGGCTTCTCGAGTTGGTTTTTGACTCGTCGGGCAAGGATTTCTGCCCCTGTCTTCGTTGCGGAAAGCGAGCGCACATCACATATAAATTTAATTTTGCATCGCCTTGGCAGCCTGAGCTCATGAGCCGACTGACCCCAATCCTACAACAAGAGACGTTGGCAGCAAGAGATGAAAGAGAGAGGAAGAAAAGAAAGGAAGGAACGGAGCACTTAACTCTCACTCTAATGGCCTGTAGAGATGCGAGTGCAAGGGCTCGAAACTGATAGGTGGATGGATGTAACCAGTTAATAATGTAAGATGCTTTTTCTGTTCAGGTTTTCCTACAGACCGAGAGCTAGAAAGCAGAATGAAAAATTACACTGTGCCGTCAGCGACAGAGGTCACTCTGGATTGAAAATATAATAATCGCAACGAGGCACTTCTGATTTTTCATTCTGGTTGTTCTAGGCTCACATCTACAGCTCATTTAGACCGACCACATAATCTAGCATGCATGTGTCTGGGCTGTAGGAGTAAATCAGAGTACCGGGGGAAAACCACAGGGTGAACATGCGAGAAGTTAAGTCACGGCAGCGTTAAATGATAAAAGCCAGTCTCGTTTGCAAATGTTGGTCATTTAATGACTTAAAAGTACCTCAGAAAGTAACTCAGTTTTCATGATAGCCACAGATTACTGTTTGTCAGTTCTCGCTATGACCACATGATGTTATTCAAAAGTTTCTCTGCAAATTAAAGCACTGTGGGGCCACTTCCACTGCAGTATGACCCAGTATCAGGCAGGTTTTTGTTACTTGCTGATCTAGTAGAAATAGTGCCAGCTGAGCATTTGAACCTTCTCAAGTCCCGGAGCTCTCCAGTTAGCGAAAGCCTGTCTGAGGTACACTTGCTTCACTCTTTTGCCTTCTTTTCATCCTCAGGCGACGAGCTCTTTGGAAAGTCTGCGTTATAATATATAGAGAAAAACTTTTCCTTCTGATTCATTGATCTTTTTAATTCCCAGTGTTGAGAATGAAACACGGTCAGTAGTCATGTCTCTCATTCATGTTCTCATCTCCTTGTTCCCTCCTTCCTCCTCAGACGAGGCGCGCTCCAAAAAGTGTGGCATACTGGTCCACTGCCTGGCCGGGATCAGCCGCTCCGTCACCGTCACCGTGGCTTACCTGATGCAGAAGCTCAACCTGTCGCTCAATGACGCCTACGACTTTGTGAAGCGGAAAAAGTCAAACATTTCCCCGAACTTCAACTTCATGGGCCAGCTCCTTGACTTTGAGCGGACGCTAGGTCTCAACAGCCCCTGTGACAACCACTCGAACTCGCCGACGCACGACCAGCTCTTCTTCACCACCCCGACCAATCACAACGTGTTTCAACTGGACACCCTAGAATCCACATGAAAATGAGAGTCTCAGTTTCATGTGGATTGCCCCCATTGCAACTTACGAGGATTTGGGGTGGGGGGCATGGTGGTATGGTTACCATGTCTGCAAGTGGCTGCACTGCAGGAGAGCAGAGTTTTAATGAATGTTTTAGCCTCTTGAGGCTCGTTGTCCGAGATCCTGACCATGGAGCAGCGTTGACGTGTCAGGAGGAGTCACGGATGCCACGTTAAAGGGTTTTGGGGGGGGTTTTCAACCCAGAGAAGGATGCTGTGGGTTAACAAAGCTGTTCTCCCTTATCAGCTTGTAAACGAAGAACGAGGGAGGTTTAACTTGACTGAGAAACTAAATGATTGCAGCAGGACAGAAAGCTTAATACAAAGATAGGAACACGGAAAATCTTTAGCGCTTGATTTATAAGATGACTGCATCCTCCTTGTCTCGGCTCTCGAGCCGAGGTGACTGGTGCCAAGTGGAAAAGCTGGGATTTACTCATAGGAAATCTCACTCTACTGAATGTAGAGTTTTTAAAAACCAAGGAATTAACTCTCACACACACACACGATATAAACACAGTATGTATGTTTGTACTGTATGTATGTTAACGTACATAGCAGAAAATGTATGGGCAGTCCTTAACAAATTCAGTATGTCTATATGCATTTTTGTATATTTTCTATGTACATTTACGCACAGATCTATACCTTATATATAAATATATTTATCTCAAGCCATATAAATAATGGCTTAAGAGATTGTAAAATTAAAGTGGAATGGGTTTTTAGATGGTCTTTTTTTTTTAAGTTTTGTTTTTTCTTTAGGTTTATGACCTAATGCAGTTTGCACAGTGGTGTAGCCATTGACTTTGTTGGCCTGTGCTGGAAGCAGTCAGATAAAGAGACATTCAGAGAAGAGGAGCGGAGAGGTCAGTCCCAGGCTGCGACGAGTCCTGACAGCTGCACGGCTCAGCGGGGAGGGAGCAAAAACTGGGCCCTGAGCAGAGGAGCAGGGATAGGGGTTAAAACAAGCAGCAGGCTGGAAGTAGGAATTGATTCACGGCTGGAGATGGGAGAAATTACTCCTGCGTGTTTGACACTTGGCCAACTGTTTTCGAGCGCATTTCCCAGTTCCTTCTTCCTTCCCTATCTGACTGTTCATCCAGTTGTTTCAGTCAGCTGTTCTGAAGATTTTAATCATTTGTTTCGTTTCGGTCAAAAAGTCAGTTTCGGTCAAAGTTCCTCAGTTATTGATTTCATCAACACAGTTGTTCCACCAGCACGTTTTGCCAAAAAGGGTTACTCGGTTAGAGGTTACGGATCAGGGACAGGAAGTCAGTATTAACATTTCTGGGTCACTGAGGTACTTTTTGGGCAGATCAAATGTATAACCTGCACCCCAAAGTTTTGTTGGCCTATGTTAGCTTCTTGTGTGTTTCAGGACCGAGGGTGGGGGGTCGGGGAGGGGCTTTACTTTGGTCTCTGTGTTTGGATTCTGGTCTGGTTGACTGGGACTGGCTTCCGCTAGACTTCACTTACTTCAGCAGTTTCACGTCCCTTAACAGCGTTGGAGGAAATTGAGAGGAAAGGTCTTTCTAAAAACTAAAAAAAGAAGGGATCACTCGTTTCGTCAAAGAAAGCTTTGTCTGAGTTGATTCACCCTTAAGCCTTGGGTATATTATTATATGAAAGCTATATTAAACACAAATGAATATTAAACAGATCTTTATTATTTTGTATACCAGAGCATGCTGTGGTGCTGTATGCTCTCTAACAGTAGACTCAACCACAGGCTGGACGTTACTTTACCAGGTGGAAAGACAAATAATGAGGACCGTTTTATTTAACTGCTGTTGCTGCTGAACGCAGTGGCACACAGCATGTAGTCAAAGCGTTTTCTGAGACAGCGTCCACATCTGTAGTGCTTCAGCAAACCCGCAGTGATTTTTGAGAAAGACTCCAAACAACACCACGCTAATTGGACTTCTAGGTACACTGGGCCTCATGAAAGAAGATTTTCTTCTTCGTCTTCTTCGTGCGCGGACGTGTTATAATTGCACAGCTGAGCCTTGTGAACACCACCTGTTAATCAGAAAGTCTGCTCCTTAAAGTTGAAACCTCCAAAGTTTACTTTTCTGTTCCAGCTTTCATGCTCAAAAATGTTCCTTGCAGAGGGTCACGCTGCGGAGATTAAAGTCTTGCTGCTGGAAATCAGCAGACAAAAAAAACAACAAATATAGCAATGTCCGTAATTACAATCCCTGAGAAAAAAGAAGAGAAATAACCTGCTATTTGCAGCTGTAATCAGAGAGCTGTATGCTCCCAAAAAAACAAAAACACCCTGCTAAAGCAAAGCAGTCCAGGTGGTGTTCTGTGCCAGGTGTAGCAGGGGATATGTTTAGCTCGACAGGGACCAGTATAAAGATGCTGAGGCAGCTGTTGTTAGGAAACAGTGACCCCAAAAAGCTGGAGGTCATGTTCACTGCTTGCTCATGTATTGAACAGAAGTCTGATTTTACAAAATTGGAAATGTTGTGAAACCTCACAACCTGCAAACTGGTTGTTTTTCATATACTAGTGAATATGAAAAGATGAATACCGTGGAGATATGTGTCCAGCTTTAGGGCTAAGTGGTAGATGCTGAGGTTTGCTATCGATAGAGCACGCTGTCGGGTTAGAGTTAGAGATCTCCTCATACAAGGCGGTTTTTGCACGAGGTCCAGTGTTCACAGCAAACTGCGTATTCAAAGTCGGGATGTGGACGTTTGTCTAAACAGAAACCACGAACGGTGTTTTCTGCGAGCACAGCAGGGGAATCTGAAGAGGGTTGGTTTTAGCTGGCCTTATATAATCTTTCTAACTTGTTTCTAATGCTGACTGTTCAATACTCTTTGTATCTCACTTTGGAAAAAAAAATTGTGTGGAAAGAAGAAGAAAAAGTTTGTTATCTGTTATTGGAATAAGAGCACGGTAATAACAGAGTACAAGCTGTCTTTTTGTCGTAACGGGTCACACGAGGTCCTCTTTGTTACTCTGCAATATATCAAAACACCTTTTTTTGCAGTATTTTGTAGATCCAAGACCTCAACATTTTTAAATTCTCTTCTTTTTGTACTATATCTATTCTATATATTTCCACAAGATCCAGCTCGATTTATGGCTTATGGACTGAAGTAACATTTCTCCTGGGGTGTACAAAATATAGGGCCAGTGTGTCCAGTACAAACCTGAAAGACTTGCAGATTTAAAGACACACACACACACACACACACACACATACACAGACTGCTCCACACAGACAGAGCTGTGGTTCAGCATGCCAGTTATGTTTCACAATAGGCCCTTACGCCAACCTGGCTTGAATAATTACAGTGATTAAGGTGTTTTTCCTTCTTGGTTTTGATATAATGTGCTCTATGCTATTCCTGTGGCCTTTCAATATGAATATACTTTATATATATATATGAGTTTATATGCAAAAGTTCCTCTCCTGGTATAGCATCAGAGATGAGAATACTACCACCATGCTTGAATGGACTTTCCTTGTCTGGAGTCATATCCCACATAGAATAGGAAAAACACAGAGGACTTGATCACTTGCACCCTGGGATTGAAATATATTTCAGAACAGAGCTTTTCTATTTAAAAAGAAACAATTGACTTCAAGCTGCTTTCTTGTGATTTTTTTTCTTTCTTTCTTTCTTTCGCGTGCGTGCGTGTGTCTTTGTAACAATGAAAGAGAAATTAAGTGTTTTTCTCTGTTTGTAAATTTGCCAGATCACGGGAACGGCCGTTTCTGTGTCCTTAAACTTGTAGCTACATCTTGGTGAAATTGTGCTCTGGAGAGAAAGGTGTGAATGAGCGAGAGGAGGCGAGGAGCGAGGCGTGAAATACAAAGCGAAAGAAAAAGTGAATGATTTAAAAATGTTACCTCAGTGAGGAAATTTTCAGGGATTTTTTTGACAATGCATCTTGCATCGTGTTACAGCTTCAAAGTCACGTTGAATAGCTGTTTTGTATTGTGCTGTAAACAGTTTTTGTTTTGTTTTTTAAAAAAAGATGCAATCTGTCTGTGTATAAAAAGAAGGGGCGTGTTAACTGGGGCAGTTTCACCTTTCTGTCTACTGAAGGTAATGCGATTGACCCTACGTATTGTACAGTATATTGAATCAACACAAGACATGTTTATACCGCAAATAAATATTGAAATATTTTTTTTCTTTAACATGTTTCCTCTTTATTTTTGATCATCAAAAGTATATTAGAAATGACCTGTGAGTTACAGTGAATGAAGAACTAGGTCTATTTATTGTTCGCTTACACGGAACGTGTTGGTTTATTTTTGCACTAAGAAATTACTGATTACTGTTAGTAACTGGTTTAAATCTGAAATCTGAAGATTAAGACTTTTACCTTATACCCTACACCCTATCCGGTC